CTTAAAAAAGAGGTTCAAGGCATAGGTCGGGCTCTTTCCGTTTGTAACTATCGTAGATAGCAGAAGTACGCCAGTCGTGAAATAGAAGTGTATATACTAATTTTGGGAGTGTTTGATAGTACGGTTAGTGAAAATTAAGAAAGGTGAAGAGAAATATTTATAGTAAAATTGTGTTCTTTGTTTTTGTTAAACCACTTAAGAGTTAAACCAGTTAAACTAGTAGATTCGTAGGAAACAAAAGCCAACAGCGTCCTCCAATTCAAGTTGCAAGAAAAGGTAACCAAGTTTTTTTTTATCTTGATTGTATTGGTCCTAATATTTGTGGTATAGGTATTGAGAAGTTGAAGAGAGACATTAACGGTGTACTCACATGATCGGTGCAGGTCCGTATTTGGGCCTTTTCTTTTCTTCTTTCTGGGGATAAACCCCAGAAAACCTTATCTCGTCCGCAGATACACCGGAACTCGATGGTCAATAAAAGCGCGTCGATATTTCCAAGGCCAAGCTATTCTCCAACGCCATCTTGGGATTGAGTTCATACGAACACGAAGAAACATCCTGGCCGCCATTTTCCCGTCGCCAGAAGTAGCGACAAAACGGCACGTGTTTGCCCTCGAAGCAGTGCAACCAACCAATATTAAGCGTCGACAAGCCGTCGATTATTACCCGTCGGGCATCCCGAAAGTTCCCGAAATTCGGTCGAACCCGACGGTGACCGGACAGAGAAGTGTCTGTTTCACCGAACCTTATCAAAGCCACCACGATCTCTCCAGCGTACCGATCTGGGATCGGTAAGGAATCACCCGTCGGGCATCCCGAAAATTCCCGAAATTCGGTCGAACCCGACGGTAGCCGGACAGAGAAGCACCACCTGCCGCCTGCCGTACACCTATAGTGATGTCTCTCTCTTGTTTTTCCATACATAAAAGAAGCCCCAGGTGGGGCTAATAAAAGCAAAGCAAGCATGTTAAACTAGAATAGGTGTCAACTTAATTTCCAAGCAAGCACTCCCTAAGATATTTATATACGCCATCTTTGTGTTTTGTTCAATTATCTTGCCCGAAAGGGGTATCCAGGCTTCGATCTGTGAAGCCCACTGAAATCTATGACCTTTACCTTGGAGCTTTTTCACCTTGGTCTAAAGTTATGGTTGGTAACCATTTCGTGCATCAGGAACTAACAATGGACGATGACTTTCGCTCCTGCTAGGGTGAGTGACTTGTGTTGAGGTTTATGTGAAAGTGCTCAGTGAATATAAGCGACCCATTGCTCAGCTAAAACCCTGAAACATTTTCCCTTCTGAGTAGCAAGAAGTTACAAATTCCAAATATCCCAGGCCGCATTAAAATCCTTGACTGATATTCTCAACACCCATTTGCAATGGGACCTTCCGAAAGACCCTAGGGCACTGATGAGAACTCCTAGATATCTAGAAATAATATATATGAAGAATAACGGGAAATATTGGCACCATGGTCTTCAAAATCGACTTAAACTCGTAGCCTCCGATATGTTTGCATCCATCAACATAAATACTGATGGAATTCCTATCTACAAAAGTAGTGCAAATCATTTCTGGCCAATTGTTGCCGATATTCATGAGCTTCCTTACATATAGCCAATAACTATCGGAATTTACTATGGAGCGAGTAAACCCGTGGATGCTGATGAATTTTTGTTACAAGAACTTCTGCTACTTTTGGATTCTGGAGTACTCATAAATAACCACCGGATTTCATTGAAAATTCGAGCATTTATAAAGAGCGTTGAAAACTTAAACGGAAAACATGGTTGCATTAAATGCACTACCATACGGGAAATATTCTCCAGATACTAGAACCATGGTGTAGATGCGGAGCTGAGAACTGATGAGCTATTCCGTGACGGTAAATATCCAGATCATCAACGCGGTGTATCACCGTTAATAAAATTACCGATTAACATCTCACATCTCGATCATCTGTTTGGATGGGTTTGGAATACATAGTTTGTCTCAACTATGTAGGTGTAGTTCTGCTCAAATATCACCTACCTTCCAGATATTACGAGCACTTCACACCAACCAACCAAACCCAAATTTGTACTCATTGGTGTTTTTTTCTGGGAACCATGTATGTTGCAAATTAAAATAGTTCATTATGAACCACACAAATACAGTTGAAATTATATAAGGTAAAAAGTCAAGAAGAACAAGATTGTATAATGCAATCTGCACTGCTCTAAGCAGAATTCCTCTAGAGGAGGAATGATATCATATAATACACCAGATCGAATTAGACTTAATCACGTATACACGCGAGGCGTCATCATTTTAAATTTATTGCTCAGAATATACGTGCTCATCTGCCAGCGAGGATCGCAGCAGGACTACGGAGCTAAAGATCTTTGGTTCGAAACTAGGTATTTCAAGTAATATTGACTTTAAGCTTTAAATATGTTCATCATTTCAAAAGATAACACATTATTTCAATTTCCAACTTCTATTCAAAAAAATATCACCAACTATAGAAAATTTAAGGTTCATTTAAAAGATATTTATCATAATTTTTGCTTTTTGGTCTGCCATAATTTTAGACATGTAATTGGAACGTCGTACAAATAACGTTTTAAATTATATATTGGTATATACAAAATCATACTAGATGCATGATAAAGTTATAGATGGATTTGTAAAAAGTACTCTATTGAATCATATGAAATCATACAATGTAGGAGTAATTTTCCACATGCACGTATATGGCCTCCAGTTTTTTTTTGAAGATTCGATTGAATGGTTTGAAGTGTTGAGCTAAAACTAGGAGATGTAACAGTCTTCCAAGTTTTTGCTTCACGGACAAACCATCGTTCATTTGGTGAGATAGCTCCTGTTTATATATTCACCTGTTTCGGTTTCTACAACTTTGTCTTAGACATCATTTCGAAGAGCCGTTTTCGTGCTGTATTTTGATGAGAAATCAAATGTCGAGTGCATTGTCAAAGGTTGGGAACGAGTGGGTATGGCCAAGTTCCAACATAGGTTTGCCAATTGGTTCATTCGGCAAGAGAGTCGTCCTTGTGTTTTTTTCTGGTTTTAGACGATTGATGTTTTGTACCTTGAAGGTCAATTTTTGTGATCGTGATTCGCCTGAAGAATTTTTGAACTAGTTGACGCAATGACCCGGAAAAGTGTTGGAAGTGCCAGTAGTGCAGCAGGACAGTAAGAGTACAAAATTAATGAAACTTGCTGAGATCTTCCCTTTATTTTTATTTATATGTTTTTAAATTTATAATATATATTTCGTTCTATTGCTCTCTACTGAAATCTAGCTCTCACCTGTTCGTGTTCAGCGTTGGAAAATTTTGCGACGTTTTATGAAAAGGAAAAGTTTGAAAGTTCGAGAGTCATTAAAGCGAGTAATGGCGCTATAACCATAAGCTACATAGGGCTATGACAAGAGCTAGTGCTCATGTCCCAACAACTCGAGGAAAATAGAGCATCATTTAAATTTTAAATTAGACGCTCCCAACGACCAATCATTTATAACAACGGAACGTACGGTACGAGATATCCACGTTTCATCCATTTATTGGATTCTGAATCATCTTGCCCGTTAAATGCTGCACAGTAGACCTGGTCGTTTTGATATATTTTGCGCATCTCTGGTGCGCAAAATATACCAAATAGACAAGAAAAAGGATGGATGTATATCCTTCATTTTCCAGGATGCTTTCATGAACTAAGTTGGTGTTAGATTAGATTAGAGATTAGACATGCACGTATATGGCCTCCAGATTTGTACGTATACTTGATTTATTTTTACCGAATAAAGATTCACTTAGCAGAGTAACAATTCAGTAATGTGAACAACATTGTTGGCTGGGAGACGTCAAATGCTTCCGGAAACGTCCACTAGGAGCGCTGTAATAAGCAAACAGTTTGTTCCATTACTAAGTTGGCCATGGTTTACCAATGTTTAGAGGACTTCTAGGATATTTGGGGAGAACTTCAAAACCTATCATATCAACACTACACTTGTTGAGGTTTGGATTCAATTTTCAAAATTGTTCAAAATGGTTCAATCAAGCTCATGTTGTTAACATTGAAATTCGAACGGTTTCAAATAAGATAAATGCGATAAACTACAATGTCATTCACTCATTTCCACAAATATCAATGTGTAAAATTAAAGTTCGTCTAACCTATTTTACCGAATAATCAAGATCCTTTTTTTCTCTCTCTCTCTGAATGCCAAACGAAAACCAACGCTCCATCAGATTGAGGGCAAACGCCAACACACACGCACGTTTCGACGCTTTGATGGAAATCAAAGCACTTTCCTAACCATATTTTGCTGGGAAATATTCTGCGAAGTGAACCCTTTGAACCCCGATCTCCTGATGATGCTGATGGGTTCATTTACCATACCTTATATCTGAAATTGGCTGGGTGGGTGGCTAACAGACTGACTGGATATGTTTACATGCTTTCATTTTCCCATTCATGGCCCAGGAGCTATTTGCTCGGCTATTTATGCTGGTGTTTTTTTTTTGTAATTCATCATGATGCCTGTGCTGGATGGTAGTAATAGCTCAGCTCGAAACGTACCTACATACTGTGATGGATGCTGGTGTGGTGATGCTCGTTGATGACGAGAGAAAGAGAGAGAGAGAGCTCCATTGCTGTGTGTTTGGGAGGGGAGACAGAGGTAATATGGTCAGATTATATCGGTTATAAAATAGTTCAATTCCATTCGATCTATTCCTTTTTGATTTAAATGAACGGAAACTTTACTGATAGGAAGGTACGATGTACGATCCCATGCGTTTATTACTTGGAATAATTAACAACGCACACAAACCTGCCCCGCACGCCTACACTGAAACCCTTGAGGTAAGTGCGTGGGATGTCCGCTTGTACTTGTGCTGTATATTGAGAAAGGTATGAACGAGCCGAGCTCAGGCATCTTGGCGGCGGAGCAGCAGCAGCATCGCACCGGAGTGGGTTGATTTTCTTATCAGTTGCTAGATGACCGTCGATGAATCTGCATACGAAGCTCGGCTGTTCGCGGGTGTGCACAAAAGTTTCGAGATTCGGTAGCCTGCTATAGCGCTTTAGTATATCGGGAGTTGGCGTGTGTCCGTTGCATAGCTTTAGCACATATGCCGGTACGGTGGGCCACCTCAGGACGAGGTTCGAGGAGGTGTGGGAGTTGTCCCCGTCGCCCGATGTAGGCGAGTAGGTAAACAAGCGCCCATGTGTAGTGATATCGTAGATGATGGTGATAATGATGATCATGATGTTGATGATGATGATTATGGTGCAGAAGCAGTCCCAGTGATATCGTTCGTTTGTTGGATTTGGGATAGACCCGGCTTGCGAGAAGATAATTAGATTATTGTAGTGGCCTTCGTTTTTTGGGGGCGGTGGTGGTTAGTGTACTGTGCCGGAATGCTGGATTGCGTTGGACGTAGAGTTTTGCTTTCAATGGAGGAAAACAGTGAATCAGGAAGATGGTGCAATTATGTAATCAAATGAAGAGTAAGCTTGCTTGTGCAAGGTGATGAAGTTGGAGACAGTTTAGGTGGATAATTTGTTGGCGGCACTGGAATGACCATGCAGGATTATCGTTATAAAAAGGTGATGTGAATTGCTTTATTTGTACTGGCTCAATCGAATAAACTCTACAGATAAAAAGGTGATGTCCTATTTTATTTGTACTACACAAACTGGCCCATTGCGCCAAGAAGTGATTGTGGGTCGTATTTTACTCGTGACATATATGGCATATAACAGGTTACGTACATGGCGAATTTCGAGCAAATGACGTTAAGCTACTTGTCATTCACACTCAGATTGTTTTGCTGGAATCATTCATTTTTAACTGAGGTTTTATTGATTAATAATTCAAAGGATTATAAGAAGTAATTGGCTTTTTTCCATACCGCTAGACTTTTCTTGTTTTCAGGAATCAAGAACCGCCCATGAATGGAGTATAATATTGTTCCTAATTTTGGAATTAACATCCCAAGCAAGGGGCGACCTCGGCGTAGTGGATACCACCCATACCTCTCACGCCAAAGTCACGAGTTCAAATCTCACCCCCGGACAAGTCACGAATTACCCAAAATGTTGTGTTATTATTTGGGGCATGTTACTGGATCGCCTGGATCCAGGGATGTCTACTCGTTTCGGACTCATGGGCAGCAACCACGCTGGCGAAGTCGGTGAAGATGGCTATCGGTCGTTCATCGGAGGTGGTGGCAGCGATGAAAGCCACGTCGGCTTCGGCGGAGAATATCGAACACTGGTCTGGCCGTCGGTGACATTGGCTGAGATTGGGCGACCGAGCCATCTGTGTATCTAATTGAGTATCCTTCGTAATTTCGTTTTTGAAGGTCAAGGACCGTTTGTGCCACTGCTAAAGGGGTGGAACCTGCTTTAAACTTATTTTTGATTGTAGGATCGGTTTGAATTTTTGGCAGGCTCCAACCCCTGGCTCCACACTAGTGGACCCTGGACACCGGTGGGAGTACATGGTTGGATGATTCTCTGAGGAGTTGGTTAGCCTCAATGAGGAGGAAACCTTCCTTACTGCTACCGGACGTGTTTTCACAGTGGCTGATGGCTCGATGGCAGATTGTTTTGGTTATGTACCTGTTGAAGGGGAGCACTCTGCCCTCGATATAGGCAGCTACTCCAGGGGTACCTGGGAGGAGGCCCGATGATAATCGTAAGGCTTGCTGGTAGACAGGTGCAAGTTATTCCACTAGCAGGGGTATTGCGAGGTAGGTTGCTTCAATCCCATATGGTAGGCGTGAGTTTATGATAGCTTTTGCGACGTTCAGATGGGTCTTCCGGTTGGCATTTGGGTGGCGCCCAGCCAGAGTTTTCAGCAGGTTGATTTGCTGTTTAAAACTGTTTTTAACCTCGTTGAAGTGCGGGCCGAAAGTGAGATGACGGTCGAAGCAGACTCCGAGGATTCGAATGGTTTTATGGAATGGGACCGGCTTCCCATTGATGAGAATCTTGGTGCTCAGGACCTTGTGATTGGTTGAGCATACGTGTTTATACCCGCTTTGGCTTGCGGAGAGCTGAAATCCGACTGACGAAGCCCAGGTTGATACGTAGGCGGTGGCTTGTATAAGCTTTCTTCGTAATGCTCGGTGAAGGTCTTGATGTGGCAATTTCCAAGGGTAACTTGGAAGGTACAGTGTGACAGAAAGTTTTGTATAAATTTCAGAATATGGCCCTTAAGTCCCGATTCCTTGGGCTGTTCTAACACCCCCGGCATCCAAGCACGGTTGTATGCCTTAGATATATCCAGGGTGGCCAGTATTGTTAATTAGTATCATAGACAAACAGACATAACACATTGAATATTTCTCATTGTAAAACATCGTCGCTAAAGCATTACCGCCATCTGTTGAGTACACTGTGGTGGGTAGTACGCTGAACAGATGGCGGTAGTGTTCAAACGTCAAACGCAAGGAAATTTACTATGCGCGCCACAGGTGGCAGTACTACCAACTGAGAAACTATAAAATTGGCCGTTAAATGCTTGTTCGATGAACAACTTATGAGTGTTATGTCTGTTTGTCTGTGGTAGTATATTTGCTAACAGTGACTAACTTCTTTGATTTTGATTCTTGTTCACTATACAAAACATCGTAAAGCTATAGTCAAAAGGTACAACACAAAAAAAAATCTTCCGTTATCCAATAAGCCTCCTCCATCAGAACGGGATCCACTTCCAGTAGTTTCATTGTATGGCAGCAGTGTTGGAAAAATATCAAAAAATCAAATCTCACCAAAGGCCAAGATCCGATTCGACGACAAAAATCAACAAGCACACAACTGCGGTTGATATTGCAAGCTGTGATGAAATATCAAGCGAACAAAACTCACCAGCTGCAAAGCTCTCCAAACTGTGGTGAGATTGAGTTTCATGATTTTTATTTTACACCCGAACGCAACCGAAACTTCCATAACGACTGGTAGCAGTCACATCGTGTCTGTCATCTGTAAAGATAAAAAAGAGATAGCACTGTTAAACCTTCTCTTTCTAAAAAAAATGAGGTGCAATGGAATCATTTTTGCGTCAATTCAACTCTCAGCTTCAACTTTACACGTTGTGAATAGTCTCGCAATATCAAAGGAGCTTGTAAAATCAATATCAAGCATAAAGTGAACCCCACAGGTATCAATATATTGACGCGAAGGGGAATTATTGACAATTATATTGATGATGTGAATACAGAATTATTGTCAATACCGATGTATTGACGTCAATATAGAATGTATTGACAATACGATTATTGTCAATAAAAGCAAACGTGTAGGGTCCAATTAAGGGGAAACAGTCCTATTTTTGCGGTTCGTTAGAAGCATTAAGAGCCTATTGTTGCATATAGAGACCTCCATACACAACAATAGGCTCCTAACGCTTCTTACGTACCGCAATAATAGGACTGTTTCCCCTATGTTTTGCTCCAATATCACGCGTGATATTGATAGCGTATGAGAGCGGAAAAATATCAATTTGCTAATGATCATGCCATCACTGTATGGCAGTATCGCCAACGGGGGGCAGCGCGCTCCGATTGCAGCAATAGACGCAAAACGGAGACATCACTCACACACTAATCACGAAGCGAGTGCTTTTCAAAGTCGAAGACGCATCGACCGAAAGATCTGCTGTTGAAGAACTATGAGGAAGACCACACAATAATTGCTGCCGAGTAATCAGAAAATCGCGTGATACACATCGAATACGGTATTGAAAAATTTTCGGATCTCAGATTTATGAAAAAATTCTGGGCGGTAAAAATACAAAAAATACGGCACAATCGGCGCTAAGTGTCCGATGCAGTTGCAATTGACCACTTCCGATTTTCATCAAATTTGTAGGAGATACTCATTTTAGACCAGCTTTAAAAAGTCCAAATTCATGTGCCAAAGAATCATTTTCTTTTTTTTTTCAGATGACATTAGGAGTTGTTTTCATAAGAAATTTAAATAAGGAATCTAAATCTAAAATGATAATCTTTGAACAGGGTTGTCAAATATTTTTAATTCGCGTTTGATCTTAGAATTACTTTGTTCTAATTTTCAACTTGATGTTACCCTCGTGTTCTATTATATGCAGGTCAACTTTGTCATTCTCTGAGCACAACGATATTTTGACGTAGGACTACGTTTTTCGGGAAGGGTGCCAATACAGGGAAATGCAACGAAAATTGGTCAGACTCTAAATGCTAATAACTTGGCCAATAATCAATGGATTTTAATGATTTGTGTGTCGATCGTTTTACGAGTATTATAAAATTTGTGTGGTATGTCACACATTATAATTGTTAAATATGTAAATAGTTAACAATGAAGAAATATGGAAATTATTCAAATTTCCCATACATTTTCTTCGACCGCAAGGGGCTTACCCCTTAACCAGCCATCTGAAAGTTGATCCCTAACGACACAAGCCGAAACCGAACAATAATTCTACGTTGCGGTGGAAGAGGTAGAGCAGCCGAAATTTTCTTCTACAAAAGGGTCTGCTAAATAGCTTCACCACTATCACTGTTGTGTCGTCGTCGTCATTGTTGGCTTGGCGCCGGTGCCTGTCCCTAGCAACAACAGCAATCGGACGTGGCGAATTGATCGTGTGCAGGCTGCCGGTTACGAAAACGTGTTCTTCATATGCCTGCCGCTGCAATGAGCTGCAGACGTATGCAAGTTTCTTTCCGACAAAACTCCACGTCCGATTGCTGGAGTAGCTCGGACGAGGATAAGAATAGGCGCTGTCCATGGGTGAGCCTAGGCACCGTGATCTGAACGTCGGGAGCATCGAAATCGTTACTGTGTCCACTTGATAAGTCATACATGTAAACCACACAAATACAAGAAATAAAGATCATTTTAAGTCAAAAAAGTTGCGGCCATATAGTCGAGCTGGTCGGTGGGAAAGAAAAAGCAGCGGAAAGGGTTGTAGTTTTCAAAATGCTTCTGTCAAATCGCATCCACCGCTACAGTGGAGCAAGTCGGAGCTTGGTCATAACATTTAACAGGGAGGGCCTCCCCCGGGAGAGGAAGAGTAAAGGCCGGCGCACAATGGATACGTTTTCAGGTTTTTTGACAGTTAGCCCATGCATTATCTGTCAAAAAACCCGAAAACGTATGCATTGTGCGCCGGCTTTAACGGAAATCTACATCACGTCTGTCTAATCGCATCCACTTGTTCAGTCAGACAGTCGAGCTGGACGAAGCTATGAGGCTAGGCGCCTTAAGTTGGGTTTAGACAGGGCAAGTCAATTGATCAAGTCAGTTGAATTCAACTGACTTGAACGCGA